CTCGACGCCAAAAAGGGAAAGTGGGCCGAAGAGCTCGAAGGAGTTTTATGGTCACACCGCACAACCCCGAGGCGAGCAATGGGTGAAACTCCTTTTTCCCTCGTATACGGAACAGAATGCATGATTCCCGCGGAAGTCAAATTTCCAGGAGTACACAGAAGACTTCTCCCAGAAAGAGAAGAGGCAAACAACTTAATGCTTCTCGACGAACTCGATCTGATTAACGAACGACGAGATCATGCACTCATTCGAATTCAAAACTATCAGCAAGCGGCCGCAAAGTACTATAACACAAACGTACGCAGCCGCAGATTCCACGAGGGCGAGCTAGTCTTAAGAAAAGTCTTCCAAAACACCGCAGAACGAAATGCTGGTAAATTGGGAGCAAACTGGGAAGGACCATACAAGGTCATAAAAGTAGTCCGGCCTGGAGCGTACGAAATCGCAAACATGCAGGGCATCAAAATTCCCAGATCCTGGAACGCGATGCATCTCAAAAAATACTATCACTAGGCGGCACGCCTGCAGAACACTGAACTACGAGACGGCTTGATCCCTTTAAAGGGTACGTAGGCATCTTGTCGCAAGACAAGACCAGCCGTCCCCCCTCGTTAAAAATGGGGGGGGGAGTAGATGAGTATACGTATACTCGTATACTCCCGCAATTTCAAACTCGAAATTTCTCAAACTTTTTCAACAAACGTATTGAAAAGAAAAAAAAAATTCTGAATATAGCGAGACGTCGTTAGTGTTCGGAAAACCGTTCCTCTCCAAAAACAACAAACTGTCCGTCCGAGACTATAAAACACACACAACTTCTTAATATATAATCCCTTCGCGAAGGTCCAAACTACGTAAATATCTATCTCTTAAAAATAGTTTGTTGCTGATCACAACAAACTCGCAACAGTCCTAAACAAACTTAAGTTATCTCGCAGAGATAGCTCTCGAACACCCGACACAAGGGTAATAGCGCTATAAAAGAAACCCAAACTTTTGGTCAGCACTGCCGGGAAACTTAGAAATTGTTCCCGGTGAGATGCTCGGTTCCAACCAGACGAATCATATAAGCCTAGAACATATCGCGGATTCTAAATCGGTATGGAATCAGGTTAAAATCGCAACAGACAAAATGAAAGCCGACTAGTCATCGCACAACCTTAATCCGAAAGTAAACCTAGGTCTTGCCCTAAACCCAGCACACTGGTCGCTAACGTCTCAAGGCATGAATCGAGATCCTAAAGGCATGTATCTTTGTCTATATCTAAACGCTCACTCGATTTGCTAAACATCCTAAAACGGGCAAACGAATAAGGCGATACCTTAGAGGAATGGAATGTGAGACGACAAATCGTGGACCTCCCGCAATACCAACTCGAAGCAACAAGTTTAAACGAAAAGCTGATTGTTCATTACCAAAACAAAAATTTGCCGAAGCAACGAGGGATTCAAAGCCATAAAAAGCCTGTCCTGAACAAGTACAAAAGCCACAGTCGGCCAAACGCATAAAAATCTAATTTTTAAGTCTCGTACGAGATTACATCCTCAAGCATCCTCCGCACACGGAGCCTCATCCTCATCCATCGCATTACCTTCACCTTAGACAGCAACTTCCGGGTCGTCATTCTCGTCCGCATCAGGCTGAGGCACGTTTTTGGCAGCAAGAGTTGGATCGGAATCACTTCCCTCGACAGGAATAGATCCTTCAGTCACGCGGATAGCCGATTCCTCAAAACTCTTCATCTTGCGCTGAAGTCTGCGCAGCTCCGAAGCCTTGGACTTCTTCGCATCCTTCGCCTTGATCAGAGAGATCGCGGTCTTTCCGAGATCACGCTCCAGATCGCTAATCCTAGCCTCGAACCAAGACACCTCCGCGGAATGCATGTCTTCTATCACCTTCAGTTTCCCCTCGAGCTGAGCAGACCTCTCCTGCGACTCGGCCAATTCCTTGGCTAAACGCTCGACTTCGGACCCACACTCTTTGATCATCCCATCGATCAACGAAACAAACTAGAAAAACCAAGATAGATGGTCAGATACGAATATATTCTTTAAAACGTATGCTTGCGAATCTGTACCTTGGTACACTGTTGCGACATCGATACCAAGCTAGGCGCCTTGCTAGACGAAGCTCCGGCCTCGGGACCCTTCACGCCTCTCTTTCTCGTGGGACCATCAGGGTTCGGACGAGTTCTCTTGCGGCCTTTGGCTGAAACAGGTAGCGTCGCGCTAAGTGCCGGAAGTCCCAGAACAATCACTCTCTTGGCCGGAGGAGGAGGCCTCAGAATCGTAACCGGGTCAACTGCAGTAGGAGCAGCAGCCGGTTCGATTGCGACAGGAGTCGTAACCGATTCAACGACATTGAGAGCCGCAACCGGTTTAACCGCGGTAGGAGCCACGACTGATTCTACCGTGGTGGGAGCTACAACCATTCCGACCTCAGCAGGAATAGCAACATTTTCGGCTGCAACAACGGGCAGAATAGCAGACACACCCGACAGTTCAATAGCAGCGCCCGTCGAGGAGTCTGCTATCGTATCCGTCGTTTCGTCCAAAATAGCCTTGACCTCTCTCGCAAGAACAGATGGATCCACCGAGGGTACGCCACTCGACACAGCATCCTCCTCAGCATCACTACGGTCCATCTCGTCTTGAAACAAGAGAAACTCGGAAATCCAAGCATCATGCGCGTGTACCGTAGGGTTGTCACCAGATGGGAGCTCACAATTTTGTTGATCACCTTGGGAAGAAGACATCTTGAAATTTTTCTAGAGAGAAGTTTGAGAGAAACTTGAGAGATGGAAGATATGAGAAGTAATGATCCAATACTTATAAAAGAAAAAAGAGCCCGTCCCTCGTAATAAGACAAATCGTAGCCGTAGATTCCGATTAAAGCAACTCCATTCGACCACAAAAACTTTCTCCAGAATTCGCGAGCTGGGGGGGGTAACTGTTGGTGTCAAAAATCGTAATCTCGAAATCAACGTCTACGATAACTTCTATAAAAGATGGGATTATTGCTTTCCGCAAGAATCGTTTTATAAAACTCGAGGAATCGTTTTATAAAATACGAGAATCGTTTTATAAAACTCGAAGGATCGTTTTATAAAACTTGAAGGATCGTTTTATAAAACTCGGGAATCTTTTTATAAAGTTAAAGGAATCGTTTTACAAAACTCAAGGATCGTTTTATAAAACTCGAGATTCATTTTATAAAACTCGAAGAATCGTTTTATAAAACTCGAGAATCGTTTTATAAAACTCGAAGAATCATTTTATAAAACTCGAGAATCGTTTTATAAAACTCGAAGAATCATTTTATAAAACTCGAGAATCGTTTTATAAAACTCGAAGAATCGTTTTATAAAACTCGAGAATCGTTTTATAAAACAAAAAGAATCGTGTTATAAAACTCGAAGAACCGTTTTACAAAACCGCGAAAAACCGAATCCGCCGTAAAATGCGAACTAGCTTCGTCCCGGCTAGTTCGCCCAACGACGAACTAAGCCATGACCGGCTTAGTTTGCCGTTAAGCGAACTAGCCCCGTCCCGGCTAGTTCGCCTAACGGCGAACTAAGCCATGACCGGCTTAAATCGCCGTTGGGCGAACTAGCCCCTTCCCGGCTAGTTCGCCCAACGGTGAACTAAGCCATGACCGGCTTAGTTCGCCGTTGGGCGAACTAGCCCCGTCCTGGCCAGTTCGCCAAATGGAGAACTAAGCCATGACCGGCCTAGTTCGCCGTTGGGCGAACTAGCCTCGTCCCGGCCTAGTTCGCCATTGGGCGAACTATAACCTTCCCGGACAGTCCACCGGCTCGGTTCGCCGTACATCGAATCGATCATCCCGAGCCTTGATCTCCCGTATCCCTGATTCAGTGCTTACGACCTTCGACACGGTCGTGCTCCGGACCATGTTCAAAATGTCTCCCGTTTAGTCTCGATCCGACCTATCATTCGAGTTTTACGATAAAAACCGTAAAAATATGTTATCTCAGAAAGAACTCGAGGAAATCGTATAAAACGGCAATGGTTAAACGAAACACCGAACATTGCCTAAACTATACGATTTATTCGATATTTTTCGTTAAAATCATAAAAACGCGTTTTCAATAAAAAACGTCGAGAAAATCGTAAAAACATCGAGAAAATCGTAAAAACATCATCGGATCAGGAAACAGTCTCGTATGGAGTCGTAAAATGGATTTTATTGTAAAACGGCCCGAAAGGTCCTAAAACACGATAAAAACCCATCGCGCGATATTAACGAAATCAAACCCGAAGATACGATAACGTTTTGATGGTTTACTCGCAGAAGGAAGATAAATGTCAAGTTTGAAGATAAATAGAAGATGTCCGCGGGAGAAAAAGGAAGGATCAAGAGAAATGGAAAATTCCCGATAAACTCGAATTCGGGCAAAATGGAAAGACTGAACCGCCTAGGAGAGGAGTATATAAGCCAGATTCATGGGGCAGGAGGAAAGGGACGAAAATCAGACCTAAAAAGGCGGCTGTTAGCTGAAGAATCTAGGACTTAGCGTTTAAACTAGCAATCCAGATCCTTAGAACGTTTCGACGTCTAAGTTCTTCAATTCTCTTTTGTAACAGTTGTCGATTTCTTACTTAATAAAAGCTTTCATACAAATTCTCCATTCTCTGTTCTTCGTTATTCATCCATATTCTGTTAATTTCGTTTGTTTTAGTGATTTCCGCAGAGATCCAGGACCTCGGGAAAATTAGGGTTTTTCTCTAAGTTTCCATATTTGACGGAAAATCGACAGTGTGGATTTCGGGTCCCACAGAGAGAAGTTTAGAAAACTATTGATTGATAAGAAGTGGGATTGCGGTAACCGAGGTTGCAAGAAGTCGAAGCGGAGAAGACGAAGTGAGGAAAAAGCGATAGAAGCTGCCGGAGGTTATGGTATTCAAATGGGCTTGTTTTGGGCCAGAATAAAATAGTTTCAAGCCACGGGAAAAGGTCCAGCGTAGTTGATTTTCTGACAATGTGTAAACGCCGCGTCAAAGTAACTTCTCCCTTTGGCTGATTTATTAATCTGACGTGGACAGGTTTAGAGTGGAGTATTAACAACTTTTAGTATTGTTAGATTACTGTTATATATCTTCACTTTGTAACTTCAATTGGGTTTTCCCATAATAAAACATGTACCTTAGCCCTGACCTCAATGTCTTCCTCACGGTATTTTATGAACTATGATGTCCAACCTACCATAGATTACTTCGCATGGTAAATATCTATGTATTTAACATTTACTCTTTGACAAATCAAGTGAACCGCACATAACCTCATAGCAGCGACTGGCTGAAGCAATTCTTTGTATTGTATCAGGTTGGGCTCTAATCCAGAGATTGCTAACCAGGTTAATGCAGAGGTGGTCACTAAACTTAAGACACTGACTATAGGGGAATATTCTTCTACATCAACCAGGAATCTGCGAAGGTACAACTAAAGTTTTATATTTCTTACTCATTAGAAAAAAACTTAGATATTTATATCATTTGCACGGTCGCAGGATGCCTTTTTTGAGTGCACAGCTACGGTTGATGATGTTGTGCATGGATCTCCTTGGTACCAAGGCTACAAAGGCCCAAATTTGTTGATGTGTACAAAATGTGGGAAGGTTAACATAGCTGGTGTTGCACAGTATGAACTCTCGCCTCAATATTCAGCTACGCTTTTGCTGGTATTGGCTTCTGAATCTTTCATTAAAGGTGCCGTGCAAAGTCTCTGTTTATGACAGCAGTGACCAAGCTGTTTTGTCCTACTTGGTGATGATGATCGTGAGTTGACTGGGAAGCACGCATCAGAATTAGTTAGCAGCTGCTTTGAGATAACTTAGCATCAGGCTGTACTCTCAAATTATTTTATCTCACACTGTTGTACTTGAATGTTAGGCTAATGAAAACCAAGGAGTTGACCATGAGGTGCCTGTCCCGGAAGCTCTAATTAGCACCAACGGACAAACACATAAGTTTTGTGTGAAAGTTTCAGAACACAACTAATCAGGTAAGACCCGAGCTATAACTGTCACCAAGATCTTCTCTCTAGCCACTCAACTACCTAAAAAGCCTCGGTTGGAAACTGCATTGCTGCAACATCCGAGGAAACCTTGCAGACTGGAAATGATGTGTGTGAACCTTCAAAAAGCTGTGTAGATTCTGCAGATGAGGAGACTAAGAGGATGTGTAACAATGCTAAGCCAGAGAAAGCCGAACACTCAAAATGTGAGAATCATGGCTTCCACTCATCTTCTCAGAGATTGCAGGATTCATTGTTGTTTAAGTCTTTGTTTTCAGTTTAATTATTGACTCATGCTTTCCTTTTAGTTTGCATCTTTTATAGTTTTTTTTCTCTTGAAAATAGTTTATCTACTTTGATTACACTTTTAAAAATGGTATGTGATAATTAGCCTCATCATTACTCTGCTTTGTTTATTTATAAACAGATTGCAATTCAGGTAGCCAACGAATGATTCCTTCTGTGATCAACTTTAGTTGTCATAAAATGGTGCTTCCGTTGCTAGTTTTACACTGAAGTGAAAACGGTACTTCCATTGCTAGCCTTGAACTGGAGTGATAACTTACTAGTATACCTTTCTACTATGTAGTTATAGTTGCTAACTTATGTACAAAATCATGTTACAATAATAGTCTGATGATTATGCTATTCATGCATAACTCTTTCTCTCATCATTAAAATTGATATAAAACAACTCTTCTAGGCTAAAAACATGTACACTGCATGAAAACTAAAATTTACCTTATATTAAGCTATGCATATTTGATGATTTTAAAGTCAAAACAAAGTTCAAATCAGTTTGTAAATTTTTACTATTGCTTTATGCCAAACCTAAAAAACAAGATAACAGTATTTAAATCATAATCAAGTTAAATTAACTTTTAATGTATCTTACTTATCATCCTATATTTGACTTCCAAAAATAAACAAAACAAAATTATGAGTTTTAGTTATGTTCAATTCGGTAGTCACAAGATAAATACAAACCATTTTAATTCTTTTTACCAATTTTATAGTTTAAAATCGCCTGCAATATATATACACAATTTTAACTCATATAAGTGCAAAAAGTTAACTAAATTAAAAAAGTTGATCCAAAAAATTAATTAAATTAAACTTATGTGATAATCCGGGCGTAGCCCGGGTAAAATCCCTACTAACTAATAATAAAATAGTTGTACTAAGCTATAAAAACACTATGCTACAAAAGTGATACATATAGTTTGCTTAATCTACTGACCAAATTTTTAAAAATAAATTTTAAAATGATTTTTTTTTCTTTTATCAACATAAATAGACTCAACTAATACTCTGCTAGCCACACTAGTAACGCCAATTTCATATGATCGATAAACGATGGTTGTTTCTTAACACTACATGCGGGACTATCCGCTTTTATATTCTGCATTCGGGGTATATGAATGAGTTCTAAATGGCTGAAACTTTCTTTCATGATTTTAATATCTTCCAAATAACTTGCAATGACATGTCATTTGTTCAATATATGGTTAATTACTATCGATTAAGGACGGTATAATCACAACGGTTGTTGGCGTTTGCAGTTTTGAACATTATTAACAGATTTATACGACTGGTACATCGGTCAGAAATTGATGCGTTTACGTGATACTTATGACGAGTATAGTACCAAATGCAGCACTGGTTAAACAATAATTAACATCATTGATACTCTATATAATAATAAAATATTAAAATCATATTTTTATAATAAATATAGTATTAATCTTTTTAAGATGTAAAAAATATTTTTGTTATAATACATTAAAATATAACATTTATTTTTGTTATAATACATTAAAATATAAAAATTTAATGTATTAATCATAGTATTAGTTAATCTTTTTAAAATGTAGAAAATACTTTAGAAAATCATAGTATTAATCTTTTTAAAATGTAGAAAATATTTTTGTTATAATACATTAAAATATAACATATATTCGTATTTATATTAATTCAGTTTATAAATTTAATTATTTTTTTATATTTATATCAATTTTTTAACATATTTGATTTCGTTTTTTTTTTGAAAAAATAAATAAATCTAGGTCTAGTAAAGAGAGTCATGCCTAATTCCTGGGTGGCCTTGCATCCCGGCATGCACTATTTAGAGGCAAACAATGGCGGATCTAGAAACTATATGTATCAGGGGCAGAAATAAAAATTTACTAGATAAAATATAAAAAACATTGTCATAAAAACGTACAAATCCTTACAATGAAAAACGTATAAATCCTTACAAATGTATCCTATGCTCTCTCATGGATTAAAATCGTTTCACCACTGTTTCATTTGTAACAGACTCAAACAACTCCTTTTCAATATAACATACTAAACAATCACTTAGAAATTCATCTCCAATTCGGTTGCGTGTTGCTGTCTTCACTAGTTTCATTGCAGAAAAACACCTTTCAACACTTGCAGTAGCAACATGCAATGTTAAAACCAACTTCAAGAGCCTATAAACTAAAGGATGTACAAGGTGCTTTTTTGTTTCCACCATCAGACGAGAAAGATCTCCAAGATTCTTCAAATTCTGAAACCGTTCATCGTTTCTTATATTGTCAATGTAGATTCCAAGTTGGTGTTCCATAGATAGACGCTCTCCAAAGCTAAAATCCTCTGGATAGAACTTAACCAATCTCAACAGCTTTGACTTATCAAACTCACGGAAGGAATTGGCAGGACTTATAGAAGCCATACAAATAAGCAAATCGGTGTTTACCTCAGTAAATCGATCATTAAGCTCTTGAAGCTGCAAATCCATAACAGTGTAGAAACAATTAACCTTGTAATGATGCAGATTGGTTACACCTGTTTTTTTCCTTGGCCTCCTTAAATCCACAAATTCTTCATCCATCACAAGCATATTAACATTCTTCTTTTCGCAGAATAATGAAACTTTACCCATTAGAAAATCCCATCCATCTTCTCGAAAATTTTGCAACTCTCGTTTAGTTGAATCTACAAGTGACATGGCATTTGAAATATCTTGATTCTTCATTTGCAAAGCCATTGACAGATTCTCAGTTACTCCCAAAATAAACAGCATCAACTATAAATAGATCACACATTCGAATGTGTGAAAATACTTAAGAAGACCATATGCTTGACATCTTTTTGAGTCATCAGCGCCTTCATCTTGAAAAATTTCAAGGATTTCAATGACTGAAGAAAACAACTCAACCAGACGCAGCAAAGTTTTATAGTGAGAACCCCAACGAGTATTTCCAGGCCTTGGAAGAGAAATCTCTTGATTTTGTCCCGTTCCAGTGTTAATGTCACCACTGTCAATCCCTTCCTCCACCCTCTTCCGATTCATATCAAGAAGCGTATCTTTTCTCTTGCAAGAAGCCATAACCACATTCAGCAAAGTCGAAACCATGTCAAAAAAATTACTAACTTCAACGCTCTTTTTCGCGACTGCCACCACAACTAGCTGAAGTTGATGAGCAAAACAATGTACATAATAGGCTGAACTATTTTCTCTAGAAACCAATGCTCTCAGCCCATTAAACTGACCCTTCATATTGCTTGCTCCATCATAACCTTGTCCTCTCAACTGTTTCAAGCTCAACCCAAGTTTTGCAAACAAGTCATCAACTGCAGATTTCAAAGATAAAGAAGATGTTTATTTTACATGAGTAATTCCCACAAATTTTTCTTTTACTAATCCACTTTTATCAACAAACCGGAAGACAACAGCCATTTGCTCTTTGTTAGAAACATCTGCAGACTCATCAACCATCAAAGCAAACACTCCATGATCGATTTCTTCCATGATAGATTTCAGTACTTCTTGTGCAAAAGAATGTACAATATCTTTCTGAATCACTTGAGAAACCATCTGGTTATTTTTTGGAGCGTTCTCCAAAATAACCTTACTTACAACGTCATTTTGTTCTCCAGTATACTTCAAGAGCTCTACAAAAGTTTCCTTTATTAGCAGAATCTTTTATTTCATCATGACCACGAAAAGGTAATCCTTGCCGTAACAAATACCTAGAAACATCAACTGAAGCATTTAACCGGATGGGATATTCATTTTTCACCACATCGCCTTGCTTATAAAAAGCATGCACAATTGACTGACCTTGATTCCTCAAATCATCACATCTCTTAACAGCAATATTATGAAAGCTATTAATTCCACCTACATGCTCAGATAAAGCCTCGGGTTTTTTCCAACAAGAAAAACCTTCAGTCACAAAAGCATAATTTCCACCTTGTTTTGGTATGTCATCTCTGAACAAATAGCAACACAAGCAGAATGCTTTATCTTTGGAGACGCTGTACTCTAGCCAATTACCATACTTCTCAAACCAAGCTGGATTAAACCGCCTCATTGTTGTTCCAAACTTTTTCTTTTGAAAAACATGACCATAGGGTTGACATGGACCTCTAGTTAAATATTTACGCCTTACTTCATCTCTTTGATTCGGAAGATACTGCGATATTTTTTTTCTTTCAGCTGGATCCCATGGCAAAGCATCCAAATCATCAGAGTTATCCAATTTATCCAAATTTCTTTTAGAATCAGATGCACTTATTTTGTTATAATATTGCTCCATTTATCTGCAAATCAGTAAAAATAGTAATACATTAATATAAAGTCAACTCCATTAAACTTTTTAACATGTTACTAAACTAAGTTTCTTCAGATTAGATCTGAGCTAAATGGTAATAAATTAATATAAATTGGTGATTATATTACCAATAAATTTTCACGTTATGCTCAACACAAAATATAATAATATTGGCTGCATTTAAAATTATTCTACATTAACATCACAAGTCTCAACCTTACGTGTACCTTATAAAGCATATCTCAACAATTCTAGAACAGAAAGCAATAAAAAGAGAATCAAACAAACATTTAAAATAGATATAATCATATAAGCTAATTAAATAAATAGAAAATAAATTTACATGGACAAGAGACTTCGTGCACTTTGTAATTGTATTTGATTCTAGCCGGTGGAAAAAATCGCAGGGGAAGAAGAAGTTGAGAAGAAGACAACAAGTACATGTGACCTTTGAGTTACCATTCCTAGGCAAAACCCTATTTTCTATTGTTTTAATGAGTAAAAACTAGTTTTATTTAAACTGGATTAGATCTATTAAATAAAGTAAAGCCCAATTCATTAAAATATGAGATTGTAGTTGTAGATATAAAAACAATAACAAATGGGCTTTTGTTTTATATTTACATGAATTAGAATATTTTTAATTGTGGTAATTATTTAGAGTATAAGGGGTAAAACATAATATAACAACGGGGGCATAATTTCAATTTGTTTGTTTTATATTTACATAAATTAGAATATTTTTAATTGTGGTAATTATTTAGAGTATAGGGGGTAAAACATAATATAACAACAGGGGCATAATTTCAATTTGTTATAAAGCTAAACAATAACAACAGGGGCATAATTTCAATTTGTTATAAAGCTAAACAAACTTTAATATTTCCATGGTAGGCAAGTGCCCCCCTAACCCTCAACGTACCTCCGCCTCTAGAGGCAAAGTGATCCAACTGGAATCGAAACCAGGATGCAACAGGTAATTTTATCCCTCAAGTACCACTAGCCCAGTACGTTGGTTGTTTAAGTTGATTTCTTCAAACTTTATTTATCCTTTCCGTACCCACTTCTGTATATATATTCTTTTGAAACTTACCAACTTCTAAATTTCTCTGACATGTATTAACTATTATCCATACCAAAATTTTCTCAGTCAATTTTAATACGGATCAGCAAACCAGTAGTCTTTGTTTCTGCGGCGAACACTTCTCCACCTCACGGCGTACTATTTGTTCCTAGTATGGTACGTAACGTGACTGTCAAGAAATTGTTTTGCAATTCTTTTTTAGGGTTGATGTTTTGTGTTGTAACCTGCAGAATGCAGTGCAGATGTGGAAATCGTACGTGAAGCCACAAAGATAATATGGTTCGTAAAACTGACAGGTAGATCTGATTAATCATTGTATCTAAGTGAAGCAAAATAAAAATAAAAATCATTGTCCCGGCGCCCTAATTAGGGTTGGTTTTATTAAATAATTTTTTGTTTAGAAAAAAAAAATAATAAAAAATAAAAAGAGTCGAAAGTTGAATTTTGAAAATGTAAGTGTAGAAAGATTTACAAAAAAAATGTAGAAAGATGAATTCTAACAACTTCAGAACATTCATTTTCATAATTTTAAACTTCATAATTTGAAAGAATATCCCAACGAATTCTCTTTTTTTTTTCTGGGAATTATTTTCTTGGAAGAATGATAAACGGTAGGTAATGTGTGTATGTGGTGTGGCGAAGAAAATATCTTGCGGATACAAACAAAACATGCCACCTTATCAACATGTATTGCAAGGCAAATAATAAAATGCACAAATGAATACCAAAAGGAAATAAAACATTAGAAGAAACAAGAAACAAGATGAGATCTCTCTTGTGCTCACACCACACATCACCATTACAATTTCTCTCAAGAACAATTCCCAAAGCAAAAACTCAAAATCCAAAAGCTTTAATAGCTAGCAACAACAAACTAAGATATGAATCCATGCTCCGCGCGAGCCCAAAGGGGTTTCAACCTTCTAAAAACTCTGAAAAACCTAGTAAGTCAGACGCGGACCCGGAAGACGACCCGCCAATACCTCAAGAAGTGTTCGAGAGGATGATGGGGAGGATCGTAGTATCGGTAGGGGCGCCACTGGGTTTGGGAGTGGCAGTCTTGAAATTACTTGATGTTTTGAAGGATAGAAACGTCTGGGACGTGCCTTTGTGGGTCCCTTTCTTGACCACGCTCGTGACCTTTGGTGCGTCTACTCTTGGGATCGCTTACGGGAGCTTGTCCACAAACCTGGACCCGACCAAGACTAACTCTCTTTTCGGACTCGAAGAGGCAAAGGAGAACTGGGTAGAGATGTGGAAAGAAGATCAGTAATGTTGATGTTTTTGCCTCTTGGCACTTGTGATACATATATTAATCTATAACCCCGTTTTGGTTTTATTCTGATTTTTTTTTTGTGTGTGTGGAATACGCTTTGGTACGAAGAGACAAGAACATGACTACTGTATTTGAGGAATTTCAGATTATAGTCAAATCTAAATTCTTAGAGTCATCTTCGATTCTAGCTGTCTTATCCAAACCGTTGCTGAGAACTTAATTAAGAGAATGATAATTGAAAACGATAGTCCAAATTTCAGTTTTATTTGGGGTTTTGGCCATAATTTTTTTTTTTGGTTATATGTGATAGATATGCTTCAGTTTGGTATGATGTAAATCGGTTTTGGATCGGACTCAGATTTTGATAATATATTTGCTTAGTAAGTTTAGGTTAGGTAAAACATGGAAGTGGTCTGGTGGTAAAGTGGAAACATTTTCGTCGTAACATACATGTTTATTTACTAGTAAAAGGACAACGATTTCATGACGAATAGTTTACAATTCTTTAACAATTTTTTTACGAGTATACATATATTTTAGGTGGAAATATGATTCTAGTGAGATTTACCTAATAAGAAAGGCTTCATCGTAAATTAATTGTTAAAACGATGTCAAAGACCTGTAAAAGCTCATCCTTGTAAAATAGTTCTAAAAATTTCATATACTCCAATGTCAAAATTTCCTATATATATGTAATTTATCTTCATTAATGAAATACACAAACAGAAAAGAAAACCAAAACGTGAAAGATATAAAGAAATGTACGATGATGGCAATGTTTACGAGTTATCTAGTTAGATGTAAACGCATAAAAATTCTACGATAGTGATAAAGGAATATCTCAACGATCTGGAATATCTCAACGATCTGGAGATATTAATGTACCAGGTAGGTTGCACACTGATCGATACAAGAAAGTGGTAAAATGTTCTATTTTTATTGGAAGTGCAAAAATATAAAATTTTCTTGTATTGAAATTGAATAGAACCATTTAGCCAATAGATGTTTTACACCATAATACTATATTTGGTTTCAACATAAAGAGAGTTATGGTAGAAATGAAGTTATCAATAGTAATAATAATTTTAAGGATGTGATAATAGTGAAGAACCGATTTATTTGTATAACGAAAATAGGAGCAGATGGTATATCATGAGAGGACGCACAACATGGTTACAAATGCATTTTTTTTAGAAACTACTATAACAATACTTGATAATATTGAAAATGTTGAAGAGCCTAACTTGAATACAAAAGTATTTTATGAAATGTTAGATGATGCAAATCAACCAATCTACTTTGGTTGTAGAGAACTTTCTAAATTGTCGCTATAAGCTAGAATGATAAATATGAAAACTGATCATAATTTATCCGAGAATTGTATAGATGCATAGGTAGAGTTTTATAAAGAGTATATGTCAACGGATTCTTATTATAAGATTCAGAAATGAATTTATGGTCTTGAGTTATATTCGGGGAAGATTGATGTTTGCGTCGATAATTATATAATATACTGGAGAGACGAGAAACTACTGGAATGTTACTTTTGTAAAAAGGCACGATTCAAACCAGAAAAATGTAGATGAAATAAGGTATAATACCAAAAAATGTCATATTTACCAATTAAAGACAGGTTAAAAACTATATTAATCTGAGAGAAATGCTGAAGCGGTGAAATTACATGCTGAACATGTCCAAACGGATGGAGAGGTCATTCGACCATCAGATGCACGAACATGGAAACATCCCAATACTTTACACCCATTTTTTGCTAGAAATATTTGAAATGTTTATTTTGGGTTATGCTCCTATAGGTTTAATCCATTCAAGATGTTTGGAAGTCTATTCAAGATGTCTGGGAGATAATACGGGTTTAGACTATTTAGAATGTGTGGAAAACAATACTACTTTGGAAAGTACAAATATATTTGAGTATAAAATATGTATACTTTTGATGTACGAAGCTTGGATGTCCCTTCTCCTTTGTTTCTCTTTATAGTTGTATGAGGGAGGATTGTAACGGTGATGTAATCCTTGGCTTATCTGGTGTCATCAATGCGACCTCATTGTTCGTTAGGCGTATTGTTCTTTTAATATACCTTTAGACTTATTGGACTGAATTCTTGGATTGAGTTCGTAGTGGGAAGAAACTCAGAGCATCCTCAACCCTAGCACTCCAAATGGGATGTTTATTTTTTCTGTTTTTTTTCTTTTTTATTTAAAAAAAAAAATTGAACCAATCGCAGATTGTCACGTGTTAATAAGACCTGCAAACAGTACAAGCAACTAACCGTTTAAGGTGTTTGCGGGACCTACTGCCAAAAAGCACTAAGTACTCTCTTAAACACCCTCATTGATGAAGCTCTCACTACCAACAAAAAGCACAAACTGAAAGTGGAAATACTAGGAGGCGATACCAAACATTGCATTCACATATTTTAATGTGTTATACGTTGAAATAGTTATTGTTTTAGCCTAAATTTAAATTTTCTAGAGAAGACGTTATACTCTGCCAGGGTCGGTCCTGAAATTTTGGGGGCCTGAAACAAAATAGAAAATGGGGGTCAGTATACAACATCACAAAAAATAACAGAAACAAACTTGTAAAACTACTTTCAAATACAAAGTACTAATAAGACACAAGTTTCTTTACAGAAAAATAACAATTGTCTACATCTTTTAAAACAAATTTAAAGTGGAATGTATATGATTATTAAAATTTTATATATATATAATAGAACTGAATTTTTATTTTTGGGGGTCTATAAAATTAAGGGCATGTTGCAAATGTTTCATGAGACAGTGTCCAGGGCCGGCCCTGTACTCTTCCATCTCCAAAGTCAAGAAACGAAATATCCTGGTAATCCTTATTCGACGTGTGGAATCCCCCAGTCAATGTAGACTTTTGCATTTTCTTTTACCATTTTTTTTTCTTTTTTTTTTCTGGGAAAGAAGAATCCGATCTTGACTCTTTCTTAATGTCAACTCCATTAACTGCTTAACTATCTCATTCGCTAGTACTTCACAAATCTTTACGTTTTTCTACAATCGAATAGATTACATAAAAACCAACATGATAAAGTTTTTTTTTTTTTTGGAACAAACGGCTAAGAGCATCTCCAAAAAGACACTATATTTTAGAGTTTGCAAAACTCTATATTTGAAGTTTGTAAGTGTTATGTTTCAAAAACAAAATTTCAAACTGAACTTTAAAACTATTTGTACTAATAGAAATATATAATTAAATATTAAACTATAAATAAAATATCACATTAAGTTTTCTAATATTTTTGTTGTCTAGTTCTAATTTTAACTATTTTTAATCTTATCTTGTTTTTTTGTGAAAAAATATGTGTAAAATTTAAATTTATAAAAAATTGAAATATTAACAAGATATGAATTTTTAAGGGTTAAAATGATAAAAACATAAAATATATAAGACTTATAAATATAATGTATAATTGTAAGGATCAAAATGCAAATAAAAATATGAAACTTCAAATTTGAAGTTTTGAGTAGTGACACTCTATATTTGAAGTTTCACTACTCAAAACTTCAAATTTGAAGTTTTAGAGTTTCTTCTTGGAGAACCAAAAATTTCATATTTGAAGTTATAGAGTGTCTTTTGGAGATGCTCTAATGATAAAGTAAAATGTTAATTTTCTTGTATCCCGTCAAACTTTTTTTGAGACATAATGCTTTTCTAAATCATTTTTTAAAGACTAAAGATTTTGAGCTTAAGACCTAAAACTTTTTTTTATTTTTTTTTTTTTGAAAACCAACATCTCTATAATATTATTTCAGAAGTCACTTTCTTATGTGTCGCGCTCACGTTAACTCTCACGATGGTTGATTACTATGATACCTTTAATGAATTAAAAAAATATATTTAAATATTATTATTTCCTTATAATTTTTTTCCAAATAACAATATAAAATAAAAAGGAAACATGTATAAAGTTTACAAAACTACTTAAAAACGAAAATATAAGTATATATAAATATGGTTTCATAAAAATGGAAATTTCACAAAATAGTAAGATTTAATTTAAATATATTTTAAATAACAAAAAATATAATTTTGAAGTAATAAAATACTTTCCTTAAATCTATATCTTCTTAGATAAAAAAAATATTTGTAGATAATGTGATTTCATAAAAAAAATTTCAAACATATAATCTTCATGATATTAGAAAAATAAATATTTTTTCTTTACAAAATAATTATAAACAATAAAATATATATCTTTTCAAAGTAATAAAATTTGTTTTTATATGTCTATCTATTTTCTTAGTTACATAAAATAATTAAGTAACAAAAACTGATATATGTGTAATTAACAGAAAAATAATAATTATAATTAGTATTATTGAAATATTTTTAAGACAACGAACAACTTAATATATTTAAATTAAAATAAAATTTTATAGTTGAATTCAGAGAAATAGATGTAGTCCAATATGTAATGTTAAATTGACTTTAAAACAAAAAAAAATTGACTAAATATAACATATCTAAAATCATATATATAATTAAAGTAAAAATAAGATTATTAATGTAAATTATATAAACTAGTTTTTATCTTATAAATATTTATGCCCGTGAAGATCACCTAGTATTATATAAATCTGGAATTTGCATCCGGATATGAACTAGATTCCAACCCTCGCAACATATGGATTAGTAATAGCTTTTTTTTTTGTGAAACGGATTAGTAATAGCTAGATGGTACTTTTATGGTGAATATGATTAAAACTTGAAAGTAAGGATTAGATACGAGAAAAGTCTACGTGAATGAAACACGGAGAAAATGATTACGTGATGATTAAATGTAAAAAAAAAACGTATTTAACAAAGTGATACAGCATGAATTTATCATGCATAAATCGTTTTTTTTTTCTTCAAAATAAGCTCTTATGGGAAATGTATACTACAGTAACTCAAAAATACAGTTTCCATCAAAATTAAATGTTACATAACTAGTATTATCTGAAAGAGATCTAGGAAAATTACATGATCGCACAAGTACTATTTGGTGGATCCACCACAATTACAAATACAGTATGGTTGATAGTAACAATGGTATGGATACGGATAGTTAACCGGAAACGGATAGGTAACAGGCGCTTCTGGTTTCTTTGGTTCATCAGGCTTTTTCTCAGGTGGTTTAACAACTTCAACGGTAACGATGTCGGCTTCACATATTTTTCTTAGCTTCTTCACGATTCTCGGTACATCAACTTCTCCAACTACCGTCATTTTCCCAGTTTTGTCATCCATTGCTATCGAAGTAACCCCTAAAATGTAACAGATCTTGTAAAATGTTAATATTGCCAACTTATTTCAAGGATGATCATATTGTAAGTTTTGAAGTTTATAAAAAGATACCTGAAAACCGAGAAACTGTCGCCAACACTTTCTTCCTGATTCTTTCCTCATGGTAACTCAATTGCAACACAGATTTCTGTCATTTGAAACCGAGATCAGTATGGTTAATTGCGTAGTATTAGAGTTTAAAACATAAATATTTTTGATTAGTATCTATATATAATGATTAGTCACAGTACCGGCCCTGAGGGGAAGCATTACAAGCAACCGCTTCCGGCCTTCAAAAAATACTTGAAAAATTCAGCCTTTTTTATAAGAAAATTATTATAGTAGTATATAAACAATCTTATAAAAATGGCCAATTTTTTGAAAATTGCTTCGGGTCTTTCCCATGTCAGGACCGGTACTGATTAGTCAACCATCAGTTTATTCAATAATATTCTTTTTCAAGATATAATATGTATGAAAGAATGGGTGTACCTGCTCAGGCATGGCTCAAGAAAACTATAGAAAAGCTTCAGAAATTTCTGATATAATTGTTTAAGAGAGTAAGAGAGGAGAGACGAGTTGAGATATCGAAGCTTGTTGATGACAATTGCAAGTCCTAAAAGATATCTATTATATAGAAATTTCGGAGGAATTTACGAGGACGTTAATATACTTATCATCTATTTTAAATAACAAAAGCATTGTGAACAACCACAAAAAGATTAAACAAGTCAATAACTATTAATTTCCTATCATTCCACGAAAAGTTTGAAAATTAAGAACCAATGGTACGAGGCAACGACGAAATTTAACGGAAGAAGCGACAAATTGTCAATACTCATACCGTAGCGTATACGACGGGGAAAAACATTAAATTTTGACCTTCTTGACACTTAGTTCACGTAAGAACTTCTCAAGCAAGTTCGCTAAGATTATGTTCTTGCAAATGTTGTATAGATATCACTTCAAAACTAAACTGAAATCGAACTCAATACTCAAAAGTAGGAGTAGAGTCACAAAAGTTCTCTTCTCTCTTATAAATTTTAAAAGATATTGGATTTTGATTTGTGTGATCTTAGTTTTCTTTCTAATTTTAAGAAAACATAAATCAAGAACATACTACATACTTGATTTCTTGTTCTGTGTTACTAAAACAGTCTGTTATTTGCTTAACTGATTAAAATATAATTTGTTTTTTTTAAAGAAGCATAACCATTTATGAATAGAATTAATGTTTATTGGAGACCCTAAGTAAGGATCCAAAATGGGAATATATACTTTTCAAAAAAAAAGGCAATACATAAACTCGAAATGGTGCTATAAAAAAGAACTGAAATAATGATTTTTTTTCATTATTTATTATACCATTTATAATGAATATGTTTTCCACCTCGTTTCTTTCCATCCTTATCAAGTTTAAGAACAAAAACATTTCTTATCAAATTTGAAAATGAACAATAAATAGCATATATTCCTTTTCTTTTTTATTATTTTATTTTATTTAGTTTCTTTTTTTTTTCTTTCTTTTTTTTTTCTTTTGGTTACCACTTAGAGGTAAAAGAAACATAGTCGAATTGAATAATTCTTATATTAAAACAGAAAATAGTTTGTGGTTTTATAAAGAAGTATTACAATGTCAACACAAAAAACAAAGAAACGAAAATAGGAAACAAACTCTAACAGCATAAACTTATCCAGTATATAAAACAAACTTCTCTTATTCAAATCTTGACCATGTCAAATTTCCAACAAAGTCCTCCCCTTAGGCTGAAGAGCTTCTCAGCTTCAGTTTAATCCTCTAAGCGTTGAACTCCAAGAAAACTCTTGAGCTTTACAAATTGATCCAACTTGATAGGTTTAGTCATAACATCTTCAATTTGATCATTAGCTCCACAAAAAACCAGCCTCATTAATTCTTCATTTGATAGATTATGCAAGTAATGATACCTAGATGTGCTTTGTCCTTCGATGCATGACTGGATTCTTTGACAATTTTGATACACTCATATCCTATAGCATCCAATTCCTTCAATATCCTTTCGTCCAAACACTGTGTCACACAAAGGTAACTGCAATGTACTCGGCTTTGGTGGATGATAGAGTGACAATATCTTGCTTCCTCGAACTCCAACAAATTGTCACACCATTAAGTAGAAACGCATATTCAGATGTGCTTTTCATATCATCGATCTCTTGAGCATTGTCAGTATCCGTGCACTCCAAAAGATTCAGATGTGATATCTACCTTAGAATTCTCCAAAGTTCAATGTTGCTCATAAATACCTAAGCACTCTCTTGGAAATTAGTATGTGTTCTTCTTTCAGATCAGCCATGAAATGTACTATTAAGCATACCACACACATCAATTTGGTCTGGTTATGGTGAGATATATCAGGAATCCGAAAATTTGTTTGTATAGTGTTGCATCAGCTCCTTTGCAATGATTGTCTCTGTAACTATCGGGTTCTTCACTAGATTACAGTTCCACATATTGAATCTCTCCAAAACCTCTCTTGCATATTTCTTTTTACAAATGTGGGTGCCAGACTTTTTTGATGAACCTATACTCTAAGAAAAAATTTCATTTTCCCATGTCTGTCATTTCGAACTCTTTCTCCATTGAAGACTGAACTTTGCACACAATTATTCATCATTTCCAGTGAGTATTAAGTCGTTGACATAAAGACTTACTACCAAGAGTTTGCTCATCTGTTTCTTGAAAAAAGAGTATGTCATAATAGCTTTTCTAGTAATCTTCTTTCTTAATGTAACTCTCGATTGTGTTCTCTTAGTTCATATTTTAGACCACAAAGAGACTTTCTCGACCGGTAAACCTTGTATTCTCCTATACATTGAGAAGTCCTTCATGCGGATCTGCATAGGCCTCATATTTCAGTTTGTCATAGAGAGCACTCTTGACATCAAGTTGATAGGCACACTAACCTCGCTGAGCTCCAAATGCTGAGAGACTTCTAATTGTATCCCATCGAGAGCTGCTGTGAAGACCTTGGTGTAGATTATTTCCATTGTTGCAGCAAGACAATCCTTTCACTTTTCTATCTTCCCTTCCTCATTTGACTTTTTTTTTTATCCAATCTGAATCAAATCTTCTTTCAGTGAGAGGATAAACCCACAAGCTCTCACGCGTGATTCCTTTTGATGAATTGGATTTCTAATGGATTCTTTCCATTTTTGTTCTTTCACTACATATTCAAATTTTATCAGACCGACATGGTGTATATAAAGTGCAAAGCTGATCCCAGCTTATTCCTCTCCTACTCATTTCCGTTTACAAAGTCTTGCATCTACATAAGTTTTATCCTCTGTCTCCTTGAATTATCTCCAGTATGTGCAATACCTACTACAATATCCTATAGTGTATCATCTTCTGCATCCTCTACAACAATTCCTGCATTTGTGGTTTCTTGATTGTCACCTCTTTCATCTTCACCATCCCTACCTTCTTCTTCATCATTTTATTCTTCGTCCATATTTTCATCATTTCTTCATTCCATAACATTTGCTTCCTGGTGTTGGAGGGTCATCTTCTTCTCCCAAAAACTATAACAAGATTGTTGTTCTTGATTCTTGAAGTCTTTCCACCGTAGAAGATGATCCTCCATCATTGGGTGGGATCTTGAGCGACGGATCTTGAATTTCCCTCCTTCTCTCCATGCATTTCACCGAGGTAGTGAAAGATTTTGTGGTTGATGTCGATTCCTTTAATCTTGTTATGAATCTTCTCTAACTAATTTTTCTCCAAATTTTAGGTACTTCAAACTTGTGCCACCGGCGAGGAGTCTTCCTACTTTGCTTCTCTTCCGGCGACGAGTCCTTCGGCAACGTCCAATGATGGTGACTTCCTCCTCAAGCAGTTAAGAAAAATATTATATAATTTTAATAAACTTGTAATTAATTATTAATTATAGATTATATAATTTTAATAAATTATAATTAATTCTTAGTTATAGATTATATAATTTTAATAAAATATAATTAATTCTTAGTTATAGATTATATAGTTTTAATAAATCTAGAATTAATTCTTAATTATAGATTATATAATTTTTACAAATTATAATTAATTCTTATTATAGATTATATAATTTTAATAAATTATAATTAACTCTTTATCATAGATTATATAATTTTAATAAATTATAATTAATTCTTTATTATAGATTATATAATTTTAATAAATTATAATTAATTCTTAATTATAGATTACATAATTTTAATAAATTATAATTAATTCTTAATTATAGATTACATAATTTTAATAAATTATAGTTAATTATTAATTATAGATTATTTAATTTGATAAATTATAGTTAATTTTTAATTATAGATTATATAATTTTAATAAATTATAATTATGTTTAATGGTATGTTAACTTAACTTTGTTTTTTGTGTGTTTGTCTTGAGATGATGGATTAATGATGAACCGAACTAGTTCAAACAACACAAGCTCCAGTACTTATCTCCATCACTAAGGTTAGTAACTTACTTCCGGAACGTAGATTAAGGCTTTAATTTGGTTACCTTGCGTAGGTTATCGGATCACTGTTTTGTTTAGCTTTCCTTAAGTACATTTATGTTTTAAATTTTTAATTTGTTGTGTACTTGCATAAACTTTTCAAACATTAAAAAAACAATATTAATTTATTAGAATTTTAACAAAATTTAAAAAGCCTCATTAACTAAAACCGCAAGACATTAGAGAGAGAGCCCAAAAAATAAAAACACCAAAACCGCAAAACGTGAGATAGAGATCAGAGTATCAGACCATGGAATGAAGAGGCGACTCAGAAGATCAGTTGACGTTTGATCTGAACTACTCCCCACTAGATACAATCGACTTGGAAACTCAGCAACTCATAGCTAGGTTTGCCAGAGAGGATGAAATCGCTGAGCAGTTGGCTGAAGCTCGTGTAAGTGGTGTTGATGGAAAGAAACAAGGAAGCAAAAGAAAACTTATCAGTCTTGTCGATGAAACTGATGATTCTGATGTTGAAATCACTCCATCAACCCAAACAACCAAGACTTGCATACATACTACTTTTGGAACAGCCTCGAGGAAACCGATGTTGAAATCAACTATAGATGGTGGCATTGGATCATCCACACAGGCGTGTAATAAGAACAAGTCTGTTCCTATGAAGTCTGTTATTCGTGGAGGGAGAAGAAAGGGTGCGCCTACTCAATCGCCAAAGAAGGTCATGCCTATTAAGTCGTAAAATAATAAGGATAAGATCACAGAGGACATACTGGACTTTGACGATGAACTGGATGAAGAAGCGGGTGATGAGGAAAGGTAAGAGAGGCAAAGATCAGATGTGTGGACCGATTTTAAGGTGGTACATAAACCCAATGGAAAGTGGAAATCTGCATGCAATCATTGCAGGAATGAGTATGCATGGCAATCCCATTTGCATGGAACCAGTGGCCTGAGAAGGCATCGTGAGAGATGTAAAATGTGTCCAAGGAATCGAGGAAGGAAGCAACAACTCAACCCAGGGGGAAAAGTTGTTTCTCGCAAGTATGATCATACTGTGTTTAGGCAGGTGGTA